GCGCCAGCGGGCGGAGCTCCGCCGCCGCCACCACCTCCTGCAGCTGGTGCTCCTCCGCCTCCTCCCCCCCTGCAGGTGGAGCAGCCCCACCTTTGCCCACACCTGCTGGTGGGAGAGACGACCTTATGGCTGCCATTAGGGCATCCGGAGGCAAGGGTGGCGGAGGCTTGCGGAAGGTCAAAGACACCGACAAGAAGGATCGTAGCGCGGCGATGGTTCCTGGGTCTGCCAACGAATCATCCGCAGCTTCAACAGGGGGCGGTGCTGCTCAGGGTGGTATGGCAGGCGCGCTTAAAGCCGCTCTAGACAAGAGAAAGCAGAAAGTTAGCGGTAGCGGTAGGTTCATTATTTGCCTATTGATTGATGATGCGTACTAATCTAGAGTACAGATGATGAAAAGGACGACGACGATGATTGGTAAGCTTGGTGGCTACTTCTTATCTTTGCTTCATATGTTGCTGTGGGTTAGACCGGTCTAGTTTCGTTTGATACCTACATATTGCAGCGTTCTTCATCTCAATATTCAGCATTATTCTTCAATTCAGCAGATGTCGGTTGGGGTTTTCCCGCTGAAAAGGCTCCTTCATGTAGCAAAAGCAATGTCTTGCAATAGTCTGGGATGATCGACAAGCAAATATCTGACTCCCTTGCGAAGAAAGCAGAAGTAGAAGAAATATTTGTTGTAGTTGGAGATATAGTACGGAACATCATTGACCCGGGATGGTCCGCGCGGCGCAACTCCATGTAGGAAAAAAAGAGAGCCGCCGAGCAATACTGCGGATCGGACAGAGGGAGAACGAGACGGTAGTACGGTAGTATTTCGATGGTGACTTGTTGATCTAGACAAGTCCGAAATGCTATCCCCGCCACCTTTGAAACCGGCAGTTCCTTCAGCGTCGCTTCTCCGATACCTGCGCTCCCAGTCAGAGAATACCTATGTCTTCACATCGGCATGCGGAACTTCTCGAAAGCCGCGAGTTCATAACCAGCCATCGCGTATGCCTGCATTGAGAAATGCATCCAGCTGGGCCTATATTACGCCGCTACAATGTCGCGCCACGTTACAGACAAACCTTCCAACCATTTCTAGAAGCCGTGGTTCGCCGCGATGTCGAGCTACGCTGGGTCAATCCCCGCCTCCCATCACCGTGTTTTCGCGGGCTACACACACGAAGAGTCGCCCTTTACTTCGCAGGCTATTTGATCTAAGACGTAGCAAAGCGGCCGCAGAATCCAAACTGAACCGCACCGGCGGTCCTGCATTGGTTGATGAGGGAACAGAGGGCTTGAATTTTGGACGTGGATTAGCGGCAAAGGCTTCCAACGAGCTGCGATTGCGATGCACTGAATTCGATAACAACGGCAATGTTACACTGGTCAATGGAGAGTTCAGGAAGAGTGAGCTTATCGCAAAGGTTGGTAACTGTCCCTCTACTGAACGGTTGCGATTTTACTTTGCACAACATCAAAGCTAAACGGACTACAAAGTATGGCCTCCTCCCTCGAGACCTTCGCAAAATTGACTCTTCGACCTTGCCCCACATTCTTGTACGACCGAGTGCTATCCTTATCAACCTTCTACACCTTCGTGTCCTGATCAAGGCCGATCGGGTTTTGGTCTTTGATGCTTACGGATCTACCGATTCATATATGCAGTCGCTGTTTGTATATGACCTGGAAGGAAAGCTGCGTCAGAAACAATCGCAGGGTGCCCAATCTCTGCCTTACGAGTTCCGCGCTCTCGAAGCTGTTTTGATCAGCGTCACAACCGGTCTTGAGGAGGAGTTTAATGGTGTTCGAGAGCCCGTGGTGCGCGTACTTCGGGCCTTGGAAGAGGACATCGATAGGGATAAACTCAGGCATCTGTTGATCTACTCTAAGAAACTGGGTAGTTTTGAGCAGAAAGCTCGACTGGTGCGGGATGCAATCGATGATTTGCTGGAAGCCGACGATGACTTAGCGGCGATGTACTTGACTGAGCGTGCAGAGGGCGTTCAAAGACAGGAGCACGACCATCAAGAAGTTGAAATGCTTCTAGAGTCGTACCACAAGGTTTGTGACGAAATCGTTCAGGAGAGCGGTAACTTGGTGACCGGCATTCGGAATACAGAAGAAGTGTACGTTGTCGCTCTTCTTATACCTAGAGTTACCTATGTGCAGACTCACTAATTTTCGCTTAGTGTGAAAGCTATCCTCGACGCCAATCGCAACTCTCTCATGCTGCTCGATCTGAAGTTTAGCATCGGCACGCTTGGACTTGCAACAGGAACTCTATTCTCTGCCCTATATGGTATGAACCTGAAGAACTTCATTGAAGAGTCCGACTTCGGATTCGGAGGAGTCTCCGTTATATGTTTTGCGATCACCGCAGTTGTCTGCGTATATGGGCTAGCGAAACTGCGCAAGCTTCAGCGTGTCCGAATGTGGGGTGAGGCCGGCGTGGGTGGTTCACCGATGGTCTCCCTTCCCACTCGAAACAGCGCACTCACGGCACACCGGTCCAACTGGCGAGCGGATTCTATTGAGCCGGTCTGGGGCAGTCTTCCAGGTGAAGGTCGCGCCGAGAGAATCAGACGTTTGAAAGACAGCGCTGCGGCGGCCGCTGCCAAATCTGCTGCCACCGAACCTACTGCGCAGCGAGCAGCAGCTTTGAGGAATGCGACTAGGTCGCAACCAAAGCAGAGCAGTGATTCTGCAACCCATGGGGCAGCTGCTAACACCGGTGGTGACTCCGCGTAAAGCATAGGTACCATTATCAATCTTCAATGCCAGCTCCTTGTCTCCCTCTGGCCAGCCACGGTCACTCGATGCTGGTGATTGGCCATGACTTTCTATAACTGACGTATTTATCGCATTTTTGGGTGTTGGGTGCGTGGTTTTCTTGCTTTTCGTTTGATATCACCTGGACACAAACATCTTCCAAGGATCTAATGTGTTAACGTGTCTAGAGTACGTGTTCTCTCACTGATAGAATTTCCAGCAATTCTCGGAGCAAGTATTTCATAATGTGTTCATAGATTTAGATCGTTGGGGAAAGCTCACCTCTATGTACATTAACACTACTCAATCTACAAACTATAAACTATGACTTATCTGCTGCCCCATACCTCTAACACAACCACAGATCTATCGTCATCATTCGAGCAGCACCACCGATTGCCAGTAAGGGTGACGGAAGTCTTAGAAGTCTTGTTCGGGCTTCGGGCTTCGCAAGCAACCGAGCGTTTCTTGCTCAGTTATAGAGTTACAGCTTGCACGCTTATGCGACGATGGCATTCGCCCGTTGATAGAAAACGGAACGAAGAGGCTGATATATAGTCCGAATGATGGCAAGGAAATTGGCCAAGTGTGATGTGTCCTGAGTATCATATAGAGACTAAGTTAAATGTCCTCGCTGGTTGCCCGCTCCCTGTCCTTTGTGAATGCCCTTGGCCCGCTCAGCCCATATATTAGCAGCGCCTTCCACGCCCCCATCCCGCAGGCATTCCCGTTGAACTGCTGCCATCGCTTTGTCAAGAGCCGACCCAATGACAGCGTCACCGTTGCAGCTAGAAGTATGTTGTTGGTTCCGTGCACGCCATTCCTTCGTCACTCGCTTGCGGCCGCCTATTACGCCCATGTTGCGGGTACTAGGGATCCGAAGGAGCGTCTTCTCTACATCATATCCGATTTCCTCGGCAACGCTTATTGTCTTCATGGTGAGGGAGCCGTACATGGATTTGTTGAAGCCCACATCTGTTTGGGCCTCTTGTTTCGCCTTGCGGAGAGCCTTCAAGTCGCCCGTTGCCGGTTGTTCAGAATCAACGTCTTCATGTTGTGACGAGTTCTTATCAGGGTCAGACTTCGACACCTTAGGCGGCGGATAGCGATACTTCGCCCCTGAAAGCGCATGCGAGCAACAGGGAATCGCAATAAACGGCAACGGCGACTCCGGACACGCAAGGGTAGCCATAAGGGGAGTCCAGACCGTCAACTCATCAGCATGGTTCGAAATAATGAATGTATCCTTCTCAAACAAGCCTGCATGCGTCTCGACGCCCAGATCAGGCACTCCGCCCGCCTCCACCAACGCGTCGGTAAAAGGCTTCGGGATATAGATCTCCTCCTTGAGTCGAGCCTGCACGAACTCGGGGAGGATCTTCCATGTTTTGCGCCGACGGGCGTCAAAGCCCCAGCCCCGGTAGCCTTCCATGAGGAGGACGTACACGAGCACGCCGTTCCCGCACGCAACGTCCACGAAGCCGGGGAAGTTCGGGTCGTACTTTTCGGTCCCGTCTTCGTTTCGCTCTTCGGCGGGGACGGCTCCGTACATGCTTCGCCATAGCTCGATGAGGAAGGCTGTTATTGCCAGGTCCTCGAAGACGTGCTTTGTTGGTTCCGTGTCTTCGACCCAGTCTCTACAGAGGTCTTTAGCGTACTTGAATTTGAGGCGGGAGTATGTGTTTTGGACTAGATGCTGTGGGATTACGTTGTCTTTGCTGGGGTTGTAGTTGCCTCCTTCGGAGGTTTCTGAGGGGCGTGTGTTGCGGGCGAGTCGGATCTGAGTATTCAGTAGGGAGTGTAGAGTCCGTTCTAGGCGGTTGGGGATTGCTTCTTCTGGGTACGGTAAGAAGTGCAGCGATAGTGCTCCGGAGCCTGATCCAGCTTCTGTAGACTCTGTGGCGTCGTCGGTAAAGTCATACAGGTAGGCCAACGAGCGAAGCAGGGGATGATAGAAAGGAATGTCTTCCTTCGACGCTACATGCGGCGTATAGACGGCCAGGAAGCGCCTTAACCGGGATTGCTGAGTAGCACCATCGCTGATGGGGGCTATGTCCGCTTCATAGAAGTGACAGGTTTGCTCTAACGGCCGATCCAGCTTCGGGTTTCTGGGAATCAGCCTCCGGACCACCGTTCTGTTTAAGTTGAACCCGGCGACTTCTTTCGCCGCGATGGGTTCTACGCGGTCTTCAGCGTCCGCGGTAGCTTCCACGCTGGTGTTCCCCGTCTGCGCAAATGACAGTTCCTTCTGCTGGGGCGTACTCAAGACACCTTGGCTGTCGTAGAGAATATCTGCTCGGAACAGATGTGTGGAGTTTATGTTAATGTTCCCCAGGAGATATATGGTTAGATCTTTCATAGCCTCCGGGCTGAACGTGAGTCCATCCTCTATCAAGTCTTTGGATGTCACCCATTCTTCGGTGGGTGTGTTTTGCAGAATAGACGATGGCTCAAGCGTCTCGGGTAAGGGTTTTCCAGAGAGCTTTGTCACGTCTCTGACGGTTTTATTTCTATGATTTTTCATTGTGTGCTGTTTTTTGTGGTAGAACAAATAGACTTTTGGAATTTAAGACGCAGCGATTTGTTGGTTTTCGCCTCATGGACCACTCGTTTGAATAGAGGCTGGGTAATAGTTGGTATACCACAAGCGTCAGTGGTTATAGTCTTACTTTTTTGATCAACGTTCCTACAGAATATCTTTATCAGGACATGATTGGCTAGAGACATCACCTTCGCTTAGAAGTTGGATTAGTCATGTCGATGATGGAAGTGGATATAGAGACATTAACTCCCTAGTTAGTTAACTACTCCATAACTATCTCTCTATCCACCCTCCATGGTGAATGGTAGTCACTTTGTAGTTATGCAAGGAATATGGCAAACAGTCAGAATCACTATGGAAAAGACCGTGACCTGAAATGTGATATAGAAAAGCGGTGAGCTTGAACTCTAACAGAAAGGTTAGTATAGATGTGAACAGAATATCATCACTCTTTGTCCATGCAATCAGGTTGACTCTCTAAAGCACTTAAATTAAATAACAGATTAAAGTTAGCGAGAAAACGCTATCTGATGTTTATCTTGCTTGCATCGGCCCTTGCAATCAGCCAGCCAATTCCAGTGAGCCCCCATGACGAGAAAGAAGCATTGCATGCCAACTCAGAATTGTGATATTTCCGACACTCCACAAGGTTACAATGATTGGCACACTCCAAATGCATTTACCTAATGATTATACCTTCTGCATGAATTTGCTTTTGTGGTTCAGCTCCCACTGTCAAGATTTGGTGGAAGGAGGACCTTCAATGTCATCAAGTGTCTAATGTCCTGGCCCATATGGTGATCCTAACATCCATTGGTTATGGACCATGGTACCGTCCTAAAGGGCCAGAAGCATGGCATATTGAACCTCGCTACAGAGTAGAGTAGCACGAATAGCGCTGGAAGGCAGATATCCTCCTTCCGATCTGCATGAGAGAGCGCTGCATGAGGCCCCACGACTGATAATCCCAGCAACCGAGCACTTCGTTTAGAACAGTGAGGTACAAGGAGTGGCCCAGATGCCATCCGGCATTGGTGAATGACATATTGCGTCATGCAGATTCTGTGCTCTTGTCGCCTCCAGCAGTCTGGGATTCGTTGTAGCTAGATTTTAAAAGAGGATACTGGTTTCCAGCCAGCTAAAAGTGTGTATAGTATCTTACCGACAGAGTCAGGATCTACAGGGTACCGCAGTACTAGATCTGGACTGACTTTCTTGATGAGCAATTGCCCCCCGCGATCGGATCAATTATTATTGGCTACAGATTGCAATTTCTCGTTGATACAATGGCAAGGATGAGGGACGTGCCATGGGAGCTTACGACTGGCGGTAAGGTAGAATGTATTTAAGCGGAGACGGGTCTATCCCCGGTGCTGTCGTTCATCAACTTTCTCACTGCAATTGAGCCTACAGCTGATGCCTGGCTTGCTCTGTTGATCTTGAATCCCTGCTACTACCACTGAGAAGCCGAACGTACTTGACCATGGGAGATACCGGCCCTGTTCTTGAGCCTTGGATGCCTCCTCAGGCGCCACAGGCATTCCCTCCTGGTAAAGGCAACATCTATCCCTTCGGGGAGTCGCATGCAAGTCAGCTCGCTGTCCATCCTGATAGACAGGTACTGACTGTAATCAGGCCGTTAGCGTATCTCTACCGACATGGGACTCAGTGATTGGACTTTCTCGAAAAGAGAAATGGCTCCTGGACCAACTCGAATGGGACTATCCTCGGTAAGCCCCATGTTCTCGCTCGAGATAGGAGTGTTGTCAGCTAAAGTATCAAGGTTCTATCTAAACAAGCCGATTCGCGACCTCTCTGATGCAGTTCCCCGCCGACTCCAGATCAACGACATCACAATCTCCTGCATGGTCTTCTCGTCTGCTGCTGCTGGTCAACAATGCGCGACAGTACTCAAGACATTGCCCTCTGAGAATCCGTTTGCAATCGAAGTAGTTCGGTTTGTCATGCCTCTGGAGTCGAATATGGGTGACGCCAGTGCCCACTGGGCCAACTTCACTGCGGTCTTATACCCATCTGATCTGTTGAATGCGGCCATGGCATTCTGGCGGGATACCGGTTCAGGGTTATCAACACGTCATGCAGAATTCTGTTTGGAAGAACTCGGCTATCTTGACTCCGACTCTGCGACTCCGGCATACAGAACCCCAGCTCCACGGAAGAGATGCCGAAGCCAAACTCCGGAGTCTCTTACATGGATGCGAGCTGCGGCTGGGAACTCCCAAGAGGTGAAATCATTCCTTGCAGGCCTTGCTACGTCTGAGCAGCCGGGACAACCACCTGTGAGTCCTGACGATGTGTTCCTATACCCTACCGGTATGAACGCTATATACACGCTGTCGGAAGCTCTAGCTTCGCCAGAATACAAGGTTGCCATGTACGGGTAAGTATCTCTCACGGACTGTGGCGCGAGCAATTCTAACGAAACAATTCATAGATGGCTATACCCACAGACAGTTGACGTCGTTCGACGAGGCACATGGGCAGAATGCCTCTCCTACAAATGCGGCACGGAGGAAGAGTTGGATCGGTTGGAGGCCCTCCTGCAATCAGGCCAACAGATCCGGGCATTATTCTGCGAACTGCCCAGCAACATCACTTTGGCATCACCAAATCTCCGTCGAATTCGCGCACTGGCAGATAAATACGGCTTCGTTGTCGCCTGCGATGACACCGTTGTCGGCTATGTCAACATCGATGCGCTGCCTTATGTAGACGTGATGATGTCCAGTCTTACGAAGACATTCAGCGGAGCATCAAACGTCACCGGTGGAGGGTAAGATAGCACCTACACCAGCTCAACATTGTCGCCAAACCCCAACTAACCTTCTCACGAAGTCTTGTAATAAACCCCAACTCCCGTCATCACGACCAAATCCACGCCGCCCTATCCAGAACCGAGACACCTATTTCCCCCTAGACGTCAACACCCTCAAACAGAACAGCAAGAACGTCGTCTGGCGCGTGAAACAATGCAATCAGAACACGCTTCCACTGGTCGATCTCTTCAAAGCCCACCCGGCCATCGCCTCAGTAAACCACCCGTCCATCGCGCCGACATCAGCCCTGTACAAGAGCGTGATGCGCAAGGACGGCGGCTACGGCAACGTTCTGAGCGTTGTCTTCCATGATCCGCGCACAGCAGAGCACTTCTACAACATTTTCAACGTCTGCAAGGGGTCCAGCTTTGGGACGAACTTCACGTTGGCTATCCCGTTTGTCCAGCTAGCTTATTACTGGAATCAAGACAAAGTTGCGAAGCACGGGGTGCCGAGGCATATTATTCGGATTAGCGTTGGGCTGGAGGACTCGAGGCAGATTGTGGAGACGGCGAGGAGGGCACTGAAGAGTATGGATGAGTTTGAGTTGAACAAGGATCTTAATTGATCTGTGATTTTTTTTTTTTATTATAATTGCTAGCTACGTCAATTAATTGTCCACATCCCATCCAGCAGCATCAAATCCATAACTGCATGCTTTACTGATATACAAACCTACAATCTACATCCAAATCAGAAGACTTATAACTAACCAATGCTTCTCCTTTTATGTAATAGCAGACTCGACGCCCCAAATACCTTGTTCCTGTCTCACAAACCAACCCCAGAAAACTATGCACACTGTTCCTTCCTTCCTTGAATAACACAAGCATCCTACATAGCCTCAATCTCCACAGACAGAAAATGTACATACACACACAATATACAGCAAGTACCCCCCCATCTACTCTTCTTACATAAAAATAAAAAGTAAAAAACCACCCCCCACAGAAAGCTCTACAAATGCTTACCAAAACAACACCAAGCAAAAGCGCGCCCCACCCAGCTACTATTGATCAACCCCCCATGACGCAATGACCCCCACCATTTTTAAAGCCCTAGCTATCTATCTTCCAGCAACCTAAATACAATCCCTACCTTAGTACATCATCATACCCCTACATCATCATCATCCCCCTACAAGAAAAAGTCACATACCCCTACCTACACCACCTTATCCCAACACCCCTCCCTTGAAAACAAACAAACAAAGAAAGAAAGCAAGGAAGGAAAGAAAGAAAGAAAGAAAGAAAGAAAGAAAGAGAAAATGCCCCCAAGATGCTTCATAATCCGACACGGCGAAACGGAATGGTCCCTCAATGGCCGACACACAGGCACCACTGATCTGGCGCTGACAGCCAACGGAGAGAAACGGGTCAAGGCGACGGGCAAAGCACTGGTGGGCAATGATCGGTTGATTGCGCCGCGGAAATTGGTTCATGTGTTTGTTTTCCCTTCTCCTTTCCTTCTATTTCTGTTGTCTTTGTTGTTTTTCGTGTTGGTTGGTTGGTTGGTTGGTTGGTTGGAGTTGAGTGAGCTAATGGGGGGTTTTTTTTAGGTATGTCTCGCCGCGGGCGCGGGCGCAGCGGACGCTGGAGTTACTTGAGATCGGATGCCGGGAGAGATTACCCTGGAATGAGGCGCGGAGGACCGAGGATGAGGAGCCGATTCGGACGGAGGCCAAGGTGGAGATTACGGAGGCTGTGAGGGAGTGGGATTATGGGGATTATGAGGGGTTGACGAGTAAGCAGATTAGGGAGATGAGGAAGGAGAATGGGGAGGAGCCGTGGGATATTTGGCGGGATGGATGTCCTGGTGGAGAGTAAGTTTTGCTTTCCCTCCCCCCCCCCTTTTCTTAGATTTCTTTTATGAGTTGCGAGAGGATGATCGCTGTTTTGTTTGTATGTATGTATGTATGTACATCATTGCTGACTGACTCTAGATCCCCCGAAGACGTCGTCCGCCGTCTTGATGCCCTAATCGCCGATATCAGGAAGAAGTTCCACGGTCCTTGTTTCGACAGCGAAAGCCAGCAAGGAGACGTCCTGATTGTCGCACACGGCCATATCCTGCGGGCGTTCGCCATGCGCTGGACCGGGAAGCCGTTGACCGAGACCGCGCTGATTCTGGAAGCTGGAGGTGTGGGCACACTGAGGTGAGAGAGACCGGCCGTGGTGCCACGAGCTGCGCTAACCGTCCCAGCTACGAACATCATAATATCGAGGAACCGGCAATTATCCTCGGAGGAGGTTTTGTGGTCGAGAACTAATGGGCGCGGTATATCTATCGGTGTTCTGTTTGTTGGACAACCCCAGGATAACTTATCAATCAGTAGTTAGAATAGAGGCGGAAATCGGATGGATGGATATGTAGATAGACGGGGACGAGATAAATGACGTTCGATAACCAAAAAGATAAAACTCACACATATATCCCACTAAACCAAAGTACTGGTCGATCACGATTCACTCTCCTTCTTGTCGGCATTACCCTTGACACCCTCCTCTCCCAACACCTTGGCCGAACCCATAAATAAAGCTCCAACATAACCGCCCAAGAACCGCATATCCTCTGCCTGCACGGAAGTCATACGAAGCAGGTTTTGCGTGTCAGCCAGGTTGGCGTTCAGCTGCTCCAACTGAGCCTGCAGGTTTGCATACTGCCGAGTCTTAGCGGCGGACATCGATGAAGGACCGGCGGCGGTCGAAGACGGAGGGAGCATGGAGTGGCGGGGGAGGGCTTGAGATTGGCTGTAGTGGTGAGAAGGTGGCATGATTGCTCAAGATCTTAGTTCGTTCGCCGAATGCTTGTATGTGTTCGTTGGTAAACTTCGTGCGCGAAGGCTGTTGGAGTCTGAACGATGTGAAAATGGCTCAAGTTTGTTTACACTCGGTGGGGCGTCGCTTTAGGGATTAAATCCATGTCGGTCACGTGGAGGCACCAGAAACAAACCCCCAATCATGAACTGAACAATTAATCTATATCATTTTTGGTTGTGCATATACAACACCATACAATCGACTATACATTAGGCAGTCTTCTTCTCTCTGTTATGCAAACGTTTGGTCATTCAAAACACTCTCGTCGTGACATGGTAGGATCACCGTCTATGTATCATGCGAACTTCAAGTCTCGTTTATTGTCAATGACATGGTTCTAATCGAATGATAGCGTCCGTGTCGAGACCTCAGCTCAGCTCTCTCGTCAATATCTTGCAAGAACACGAACCCTGCCAACTCAGATCACTCAATCAACCGAATAAATCAGACTCCTGCTCTTTTTATGCGCCAGAAACCAGACCATGAACGTAGAGATTTCGGGGCTCCTAGGATGTTCCACACCTGAGCCCATAACAAAAGCAGACAGAATGGCTGAGGACAAGGGAGGAAAGGAGGCAAAGGAAATGAGAAAAACAGAAAAAGGAAATGTGTCAAAGGAGGGCATGCATGTCACAAAACAGTGGAGATGATACTGTAGGAGATACAACGAAATGAGGCGCCCACTCAAGGTAGTGTACAACATTCTTTCATGCAGGAAGAGAAAAAAGGAAGGAAAAAAGAAAAGGAAAAAGGAAATGAGATAGTCGCGGGTGACTGGAGATGAATGTTTGTGGTATAATTGCAAGGAAGTCAAATCATACTTGTCGGATCGAGCTGTGTGCTCGCCTTCATTAAAATAGAGTGCTCGAAGAAAAAGGAAAGTAAAGTGAAAGCAAATGACCACATGCAACACGCGCCCGACCACTCCAAAGCAGTTGCGTAAAACGAGAAGATGTCCCGTATGTCCCACGGCGTATATGTAATGAACTGAACGAGAATATAAGGTCTTGACTCCGCCCCCACCCCCCTTTGCCAAGCATCTTATTAGAAGAAATTCTTGTACAAAGCCAAAGGGGACCCCCAGGCCCGCGTTGTCCAGCCAAGGAGGGGAAAAGAATGGAACGCGAAGTAACCAGATGAGGACGTATAGAACAGGGTTCTAAAGCTCAGCTTTTATGAAAGGGGGACGGAGGACGGCGGGCGGCGTCGGTCAACGAACGGGCGTCGCAGCTTGCTGAGCATTCAAGCTGATTTGGCTGCTATGGGCTGAGGTTTCCGAATCAAGATTCGCACTGGCGCCACTATCACCACTCTCCGCGCTGGCGCTCGCACTTCCGGTCAGACTTCTATGCTTGGGAGTGCCCTTGGCTAAAGACGGGTTGCTCACCCCATATTGTTGCTCAATTTGCTGCGGACCTACCGCATTACCTTGTCCAGGCGGATGTCTGGGAACTGGTGCCCGCATTTGTCCGGGCGGCGAAGGTTGGCCGCCGCGAGGGCCGTTCGGTGGGCCTAGGCTTGGATCTTGGGAGGTGCCTGGTCGGCCCATTCGAGGGCCAGGCGGACCGTAGGGGGGAGTCGCCGGAGACTGGCTATTCCTCCTACTGGTTGGGTAAGGATGTGGTGGATAGTCACCCATTCGACTGGCCGTCAGCGAATTAGCACGCGACCCTGCCTGCATTTGGTTTCGGTCGACCGCTCCATATCGATTCGATGAGTACGCCATCATAGGATTGTCCATGAGAGAATCGTGAAGGCCAGGGATTTCCTGCATGATCCGATCGCTGGTACGTTTTCGTCCCCCGAAGTATCGGCTGAAGGACGACCCAGGCCTGCTGCCGCCGCCGCCGCCGCCATTATTTAAGGTGATTTCCGGGTTCTTACGGAGCTGGCTGGCATTCAGGGCTGACTTCTTCGTCCGCCTCGATGTGATACTCAGCATGTCCACTTGGTCCGGATCGATCGATGGAATCGGCAGAGTGTCCATGGGATCAAAATAGTCATCCTCGTCCTCTTCGTCAAATGTTGATCTCGGGGGTGGAGGTGGTCGCCGAGGGCCTCGACGCATACCCATCTCCTGTTCTCTGATCTGCAATTCACGCTGTCGGATCGCCAATTCTCGTTCCCTTAAAGCCAAGTCAGCTGCGGATGATGGAGGCCCGGGCGGCATATCCGAATAGCCGTTCGTGCCGTTCTGAAGTGGTACGCCATTCTCTGCAGCAGCTGCGGCCGAAGCAGCATCATCGTACATGACGAGGTGGCTGAACTCCTCGAGACCTTCCAATGAAGCATCACGAGGAGGCATTCTGGCTGCTTGCGGCTGTGCGCTCGGGGGTCTTGACATTCCCGGGTGAGGGGGCCCACGTCTAGGCATCATCCCAGAAGGAGCCCTGCCTCCACGCATAGGACCATTCATCGGTCCTCTCGGCGGTGCCGAAGACATCCGAGGTGGCGGTTGAGCCAGCACAGGTGGAGGAGATTCGTTAGTCCGGGGCTTACTCAGATTCGTGGCATTGACATGGTGAAGCACTGCGTAGAGGGTCTCAATCCGAGGGATACGGACACCTGATTCAGTCGCCAATTTGATTGGAGACCCGAGATATGTCTCTATTTCCATCGGACGGCGGGCCTGGAAGTCCTGATACATCGTACTTGGTGCACCATTGGCGGTCATCATTTCAATCGTCTTCTTCGCGAAGTCATTCGGAAAAGAGCACCCGTTTGCCCGCGCAAGCTCGAGGAGCTCCTCAATGATGTCTGAGACAAGTTGGCGTACGCGACCTTCTCGAGAAGTTGTGTGTGGTTGGAGGTTTCAAACATTACACTAGTAGGGTAGAAAGCAATAGGGCTGTAGCACCACAGTTAGTCAGACTCCGTCGGAAAAGCAGCCTTCTCTCGCGACTCACCCTATCATACGATCGAATTGTTCTTGTCTGATGTTTTCTGATACTTTGCAGTCGACTTGGCCAGAAGCCAGTGTCATCGCGAGCGCAGCGGCCATATCGTTTTGAATCGTGGACGGAATGCTGGTTTGCTTATTTGTAGCACCAACCCAGATCTCGGATGAGTTTAGATGCTCGAACTCGCTGGCACCAATCTGAGAGATCTCCACCCCTGACACAAGCGAAAGGACGACGTTTGTCGGAAACCGCTGCTCCAGGTGCGATTCTATTCCCAATGTGTTCGTTGTGTTCACGAGAATGCACGTATGTTGAGGGGTGACGACGGACTCGATGACTGAAGCCAGGTCGTAGACATCTGGCAGTGCCTTGACGCACAGAATGACGTAGTCAAATGCATTCTCGCGAGATGCGGCATCTTCGGGTGTGCGGACAACTGTATAGAAGCACTCACATTTAGTGTCTGAACAAAGGATACAGGCCGTACGTAGCGGGGAACAACGATCCGACTCACCATGGCGAGGCTTAAAGCGCTCATTGCCGAAAGCTTTCGACCTAAATCACCGTTGATCAACGAATCGCTCCAGGAATCAAAATTGACGAGCGACATACTTGAAGGATACTCCATATTGAGATACTGCCTCGTAGCCCGATTTCCACACTAGTGTCACATCGCAGGAGGTCGTCGCCTGAAGTCTCCACGAGAGGAAGGCCGAGATAGCATTGCTGCCGACTAAACAGAGTCTAGTTAGATGACGGCCCATCCTGGGTACTTTGGAAGCTGATTTGGGTTGCAATAAGGGCCGATTTAGGGAACGACAGGAAATTTGGCGTCAAAAAAGCAAATTGGAACGGTCTTGCCGGGTCAGAGCGAGTACAAACCTGATAAAATGCGCAAGCGCGGCGGAGGAGCCATAATTAGCGATCAAAAATGGAAGGAAGCTCCCGCTGGTCCACGTCGAAGAAAAGGCGATGGAGTGTAACTGGTAGACGAAACTCCAGAACAACGACTGGAGGCGCGATTGACGCTGCCTACCACGGGATGGACGAACGCAATATCACGACCGAAGCCAGGGCGATTTCGCGATGATTAAAACAACGGATTATGAAAAGGACCAAAGAAAACGAAAGTAAGGGGAGTCACACAGGACGATTAAAAATGGGTGAAGGGATTGAGGAAAGGGACCAAACGAAAGGAGGAATTAATCGTAGGGAGAGAAGGAGAGAAAGACAAGACAGTATAGTGAAAGGGGATGAGGGAAGGGAAAAGGGAAAAAGAGGAAGACGCGAGAGGAGACGGATGGAGAATAGTAGGAGTAGTAAGTAGTAGTAGTAGTAGAAGTCGATGGAGAGTTGCTGGAAAGCAGATGTGCCAGCTTTGGGCGGAAAGGCAGCCCGAAAGTAAGCCTATGGAGCAGAATCTGTAAAGTTATCTCTTTTTTTTTTTCCTTACTCTCTTTTCGTATTTTCCTTCTAATTTTTTTACTCTTAGTTTTCTTTACAATGACCAGGTCTTAACGGTCGTGGATCCCCCGCCAGGGCTCGAACCGGAAACGGAGTGCAGGGGAGACGAAATGACTGTCAACGGAGAGGGGGAGAATAGCGAAAACAGTTTCCGTACTATGAAAGAAACAAAAATAAAAATAAAAATAAAATAGATTTGAGGAATGAATGATAAGGAA